CCGAAGTGAACGGAGAAGTTAATGGATGTAGGCCTAGGCCCACTGGAGCTGTAGTGTCAAGGGGGGAAAAATCATTTAACGTATATTTTCAGTGTCGAGGCTATACCGTGTCGGATAGTAGGTTAATTAATTAATGTGGAGCATTTGATTGAATGAAACTTGAGAGGGAAAACTGAAGTACTCGGAGAAACCTGCCCCTGTGCAATTTTATCCTTCTAAATCTCAGGAAACCTTGGTGCGCAACCGGCGGCTAACCTCCTGAACTATGGAACAGCCACTGGAATGTTCCGTTCGTCATAACAGTTCTGTTGAATAAGCTAATATTAATTTTGTATGTATGCAAGGCCTTACTAGACTCTACAATAATTTACATAATCTGTTGTCCGTCCTTTCCAGATCGTAACCCGTAGGTACTTGTTTACACTGTGTGTAGGTTCGTTGTATTTGGTTTCCTTCCCATTTCATATTTTTATCTTCCATTTCTTATTCAAATAACAACAGTTTTGTATTTCTAGAATTCTCTGTCACATATATTGATATATTGTTATTTTAAATTTACAGTAGTATCTACTACAATGTATATACCATCTGGTGTAACACGAATAATGTCTGCGTTTTACCCACAAAGTGTTTTCATATATTTGGTATAATTGGCGAAATGAAACGCTATTGATTCTCTGAACAACATTGAAAGAGTGGCTTTGTAGTACCGACCAATGCGTTTACAGTGAGGTAGGAACTGAATTTTTAAATGTTAATTAACAGAACTTCAGACTTCAGAGTGTTAATGGACACTGCAAAATTCACTTGAAGCAGAAGCGTACAAGGAAGAGAACTTTTACCTAAGTTCTTTTTTTATTATCAGTGGGGTGGGACTAAGTCCCTTGTATTGCCGCCACTTCTGGCCTATTGTATCAGCCTCAGATGATAGGTGAGGGTGATTGTGGAGCAATTGGTGGAATGAAGATTGGCAGGGGAAACCGAAGTACTCGGAGAAAACCTGCCCCAGCGCCACTTTGTCCACCACAAATCCCACTTGACCAGACCCGG